ATATATATACAGGGTGAGATGAAAAAACTGCAACCAACTTCAAGCTGTTGGCATTTCTAAGCCACTTTTCCGACAGCTGTTAATATTATTCCAGTGACAGCTCATTATGTTGTTTACAAGTGTACATTTTGGCAAGAATTTTATAGAAAAAATGTTATTTGTGATGGAATTCAAGCGAGATGTGGGATTTCATTATATTTGGCTGGAAAACCACAAGTGGCTATCGTTGGAGCACTCCAGCATTTAAATGTTGTGTCTCGTACCATCGCTCGTTATCGTAGCGTAGCCCTACGTCAAGGACGTGGAAGGAAGAAAACAGCAACATGGTTCGAAAAGTAAAGAAGCGACATGATCGAAACTTGCGTCGCAGTGGCGAAAAATGGCTTGTGAGCTGAACATATCGCAATATTCCATTCGGCAAATATTGAAAAATGAGCTCAGGGTAAAGCCATTGAAATTCCAAAAAGTGCAAGAACTTACACCGCAATTCAAAAGAGCTAAAGAGTTGCTTCGCTAGGCCGAAAGTGGTGAACTGCCGAATTTGATTTTCTTCGATGAGAAAATATTCGTTGTCTAGAAGTTTGTAAACAAACAAAATTATCGTATTTACTTGCCAAAGACGTCAGCTGAAAATGTGCAGCTTCGGTTGTCCACCAGAAATCAAGCGTCGGCCATGTGGGCCGCCAAAACAGCCAATTGTCGCTCTACGCTCCTATTAATCGACTGTGGCATCAGAATAAATGCCGAATACAGCGAAAATATTCTGGAGGGTTTCTTGGGCAAGCAAACATTTTGGCCGCAGACCTTGGTCATTCCAACAGGACTCAGCACCATCGCTCTCAGCACGCCGGGAATAGGTCAAAATACTGCAGAGCAACATTAGGGCAGCGTGTGACGGTTTGGAGGCCATAATTCGTGTCAAAGGTGACCAATTTGAACAAATCTAAACTTATTCTAAATTTGTTGATATTTCCAACTTTTTTTGTTTTATTCAAAAAAATGTAAAAATTATGACGTTTGGCTTTGTTGCAGTTTTTTTATCTCACCCTATATATATGTAATAAAGTAAACCACTGTTATGTTACATAATAAACTTAATAGAGAAGTTTAATGTCCTTCACAAATTTATCCATTATCCGTGATCCATGTGAATAAATTGTAGAAAAAGTAATGGTCACAAACAATTATTTTTTCGCATGACATTTGCGGTTAATGCCAAAAGTGACATGTCAATGACCTTGGCAAGGATTGCTATTTATGTACACATAACTGTGACGCCAATCAACCAAAAATTCATATAAAGCGAGGCAGGCTGTGTGGGTGCCGTGGCTGGTAAATGGTTTGGGGCTGTGTTGGATGAGTTCTACAAGCCAAACAATTATTGATTTCTCCACTAATTGTGGTCATGTTATATTCTTTTGCTTTGATATTCGTTTTTTGCTTTACGACAAAGAAGAAAGAAATCAGAACACTTTTATTGTCTTCTTTATTTCTATAGATGTGTGTAATATTCATTAGGCTTTGCTGGTGGAATACCTTTCTACCACCAAACAGAGAACCAAATTTAACCCAAAAAAGTATTTCGTTTTTTCTTTGATAAGACCCAATTCCCATTTTGGCCTGATTGTAAAATACTTGTTTCCGTGTAGTTGTATGTACGTACATACATACCAATTTATACAGGCCAGCTACTCGACCACGTTTTCTTCAACAATTACGTCATTTATGTACATACCGTTAACGTTTTATATCACATAAAACTCTCAAAGCTTCACGGCGACAAATCGCAAGCAACTTCACATAAACCTGTTCCACTTACCTGCTTGGCAATGAAACGGAAATTAACCATAAAGAAACAACAACGAAAAGAAATACAATTTGGTTATTATTTTATTTTAGAAATAAAATAATGGAAAGATACGAATATTTCATAGAGCTTTGAATTTAATATATTTTTTAATGAGCAATGACAAGTTCAGTAATGCATATAACTTAAATTACATGGGAGTTTGTCGGACGATTGGTCGATCTTTGTTTGCAAAATACTTGGCAAATATTATTTTATATATGAGACCTTTGATGTTTGAGTCACGGCTTATGTCGTATATCTATCTGTCGAACAAGTTGTCATTTTTATTAATCGTAGCTTCCTTTGCTAATTCATTCAGAATTGTCTAACCTAAAGTGAAAGGAGAATTAAAACTCAATCAAAGAATTTTTTTCATATTCGTCTCTTGATGTCATTCGGAAATTATTTGGCAATTATTTCGCAGTTAAAATAAAACTTTCAAAATCGAGTTTAATATTTTTGCTTCTAATTGACACCTAAAATAAAATGAAATAAAAAAATAATTAATATAATTAACTTGTTCAGTTCAAATGACATAAAAATTCAATAGAAAAAATATGGGTACTATAAACCAGATGAGTTTCCAAAAATTTTTAAATTCATTGAGAGCTAGTTCTTCACGTTCTGCAGCCAAGCTGAGTTACTATAGACCAAGTCAAAGCAAAAGTTTCCAAGTCGTGACATTTTCCAAATGAAAAGTGCGGTAAGTTTGTTCTATTATGAATTTGCTAAGAATTATACCGTTAAAAATGTTGTGGCCTCTGAAAGTGCGTATTTGGGCATTTTTGAATATTTTTTTAGCCTCATCCTTATAGCTATGCATGCAAACATGATTTTATACGGTCAAAAAGTATCTAATCAAAAAACCCGTTTTAGACCCCAGACATATGGCTAGAGAGGATATATATTATTTGATACGATCAAAAGGTGCCTCTTCGAAATAACGGTTTTAGACCCTAGGTCCCTTTAGACCAAATCCGTTTCAGGAGTCGATCTAGTGTTGTCTATCCGTCCGTCTGTCTGACTGGTGCGCACGATAACTCTCGATGGTAGTATCCGATTTAGTCCAAACTAGGTATATCGTAATATTGTTGTCAAACTTAGATCGAGTTCGGAAATGGGCAAAATCAGTCCACTCCTTCTGGTACCTTCCCCACAAAAGGTTGAAATTTTCAAAAAAAAAAAAAAAATTACTGCACAGGAAGAGAAAGGACAATCCGATTTTGCTCCAACTTTGCAAATCCTAATATTTGCATCAGTGCTATGTCAGGTGCGAAAGTACCTCCCCACAAAGGGTCATAATTTTGAATAATTATAACTCGTATAAAATGTTACTTAAAAGCCCGATTGTCTTCAAATTACATACAGGGTGAGATAAGAAAACCGCAACAAAGTCAAACGCCATAATTTTTACATTTTTTTAAATATTATTGAATGAAAGCAAAAAATATCGGAATTAGCATCAAATTTAGAATAAGTTTAAATTTGTTCGAATTGGTCACCTTTGGCACGAATCATGGCCTTCAAACGGCCAATGAAACAGCCACACGCTGCCTGAATGTTGCTCTTGCAGTATTTTGGTCTATTCCCGGCGAAGCGCTTGCTTGAGGTGATCGGCACTTTGGTATTTTTTAGTGCCAACCTTGCTTTCCAAAATACTCCAGACACAATAGTTCAACGGATTGGTATCCGGAAATTTTGGTGTCCATTGTGTGTTGGAAATGAAACGAGGAACCTCATTGTGTATTATTCTGATGCCACAGTCGATTAATACGAGCGGAGAGCGGTCATCGGTTGTTATGGCGGCCCACACCATTACCATGACCGGTGCTTGAGTTCTGGTGGCCAAACGAAGGTGCACATTTTCACCTGAACTCTTTGGCAAGTAAAAACGATCATTTTGTTTGTTTACAAACTGCTGAACAACGAATGTTTTCTCATCGGAGAAAACCAAATTCGGCAGTTCACCACCACACTTAGCTCTTTTGAGTCTATTTTTTTTCTGTGTAAGTTCTTGCACTATTTAGAATTTCAATGGCTTTACCCCGAGCTCATTTTCCAATATTTGCCGAATGGAATATTGCGATATGTTCAACTCACGAGCCATTTTTCGGCCACTGCGACGCGGGTTTTGATCTAGCCGCTTCTTTACTTTTCGAACCATTTCTGCTGATGTTGCTGTTTTCTTCCATCCACTTGCTTGACGTCGGGTTACGCTACCAGTATCACGGTAACAAGCGATGGTAAGAGACACAAATGATTTATTCCCATTTAAATGCTGGGGTGCTCTAACGATAGCCACTTGTGGTATTCCAGCCAAATATAAAGAAATCAAACCATCACGCTTGAATTCCATGACGATGAATTTTTTTCTGGAAAATTCTCACCAAAATGGTTTTGTACGCTTGTAACAAGATAATGAGCTGTTACTGGAATAATTTTAACAGCTGTCGGACGAGTGGCTTAGAAATGACAAAAGTCTGAAGTTGGTTGCAGTTTTTTCACCTCACCCTGTATATTTTGCATGAACAGTCTTATCGGTTGTCAGGTAACTTGTAGGGTAATTTTGGGTAATAAATTGAAGATGTTTTAAGGCTGAGACAATGGCGGATTAGTGAATGGACCATTTAATTTGAATCCGTTACAATAGAACAATTTTTCCAAGAGGATTTGTAGGATTATATTTAAAATACTTGGCTACCATTCACAGATTGTGATGTAGTCCATTTCGATTTGGACATATCAACGTCAAAACCTTTGTGTGATGCAAAAGTGTGTCATTCAAAATTTTAATGCATTAACCCATATGAGAATGAAACTGGATTGATTGTCTTTAACCCAGTTATGAGTTATTAAATATTGAAATGAAAACAATTAATTCATGTTAATTAAATTTATTGTTGATATTTATTTTTTGGATTGAAATCTTTATATGTATTTTATTTAGAATTTTTAATTTTTATTTACAAACGTATACGTAACTTCTCTTTGTTTACACTTTTACTTTCATTATTATTTGTGCCTTCCAAATGAGATTATTTTTAATATGTTGTTGTTGTTTATTTTTGTTTTTAATTTTCCTTCCTTCTTTCTGTAACACAAAATTTGATTATTTATCATTTTTCTGTATTGTTTTTTATTTTATTTTCAGAACGAACAGGTTGTGAGCATCGTGAGTTTTCATTTTTATTTTGTTGGTTGAAGGTTACAATGAAGAAAATGAATGAATTTGCAAAAAAAAAGAAAAACGTATCGTATGTCAACGATTTGTTTGTTTGTTTGCTTGTTTTGTTTTCAAAATAATAATAATAGCAATAATTGTTTGAAATGTTTTGATGTGTAGAAAAACTAAAACTGTTGTTTGTTTTTATTATTGTTAATGGCTTGCACATGTATTTGTTGTTTTTATGCATCGTTAACGCTAACACATTTGCAATCTATTTTTCACAATTTAGTATCACCAAAAATCTTTTAGAAACTTTTCATTTTAAATTCGAAACATTTCCTTGATAATACTTATATTATGTTTTGCCATGTCTAGAAAAAAAAACATAAATTTGTAATGAAAAGTTTTGAGTTTTAAGAGAACTTTTATCTTTACAAATATGTTTGTTTGGTGAACATCCATCCATATGTCATCTCAGCGCTTAATTTGATAAAATATATGCCTACAAGAATTTAAATTTCCTTTCAAAATTATAAACTTTTAAAGCCTCTACAGTGTTATAACAAGTAAAAAAACATTAATTTCGGCCGGGCCAAACTTTTAATACCCTCCACCTTAGGGTAAAAGAAACATTAGAAGAAATGTGGCAAAAACCATTAAAATTCCGAATATCGGGAGGTACCGTTATATGGGGGCTACACCAAAAGGTGGACCTATAATTACAATGTTTTGCCACACGAACTAGAACCCATTATGACTCACAAATACCAATTTTTAGACAAATCAGTGAAAAAATGTGGAAAAAACCATCAAAATACCGAATATCGGGAGATACCGTTATATGGGGGCTATATCAATTCATGAACCCATGCATGCAATATTTCGCCACCGAAGCTGGAACCCATTATGACCAACAAATACCAATTTTCAGAAAATCCGTGAAAAAATGTGGCAAAAATCATCCAATTACCAAAACGTGGACCTACACATGCAATGTTTTGCCACACGCTCAGGGACCCATTATGACCCACAAATACCAATTTTTAGACAAATCAGTGAACAAATGTGGCAAAAACCATCAAAATACCGAATATCGGGAGGTACCGTTATATGGGGGCTATACCAAATCATGGGCCCATACATGCAATGTTTCGCCACCGGAGCTGGAAACCATTATGACCCACATATACCAATTTTTAGACAAATCCGTGAAAAAATGTGGCAAAAAAAATAAAATACCGAATATTGGGAGGTACCTTTATATGGGGGCTATACCACAACGTGGACCTATACATGCAATGTTTTGCCACACGCTCAGGGACCCGTTATGACCTACAAATACCAATTTTCAGACAAATCCGTGAAAAAATGTGGCATAAATCATCAAAATACCGAATATCGGGAGGTACCGTTATATGGAGACTATACCAGAACGTGGACCGATATATCTCATTTTCAATACCAACCATCCTAGACACAATACAAATTTCTCTGCTAAATTTTGGCGCTCTACGTCAAATAATGTGGGCTGTATCGTGATTTCAACAAACAGACAGACAGACAGACGGACAGACAAGCGGATATCGTTAAATCGACTTAGAATTTTATGCTGATTATGAATAAATATACTTTATGGGGTCTACGACGAATATTTAAGGATGTTACAAACGGAATGACAAAGTTAATATACCCTCCTTTCTAAGGTGGAGGGTATAAAAATGTCGGAAATAGCATCAAATTTTAGAATAAGTTTAGATTTGTTCAAATTGGTCACCTTTGGAGCGGATTATGGCTTTCAAACGGCCAATGAAATCGTCACACGTTGCCCGAATGTTTTCTCTGCGGTATTTCGACCCATTCCCGGTGTTGCTGTTTTCTCCCGTCCACTTCCTTGACGTCGGGCTACGCAACCAGTATCACGGTAACGAGCGATGGTACGAGATACAAAAGATTTATTTCCACCAAAGTGCTTTTGTACGCTTGTAAACAATATAATGAGGTGTCACTGGAATAATTTTAACATCTGTCGGACGAGTGGCTTAGAAATGACAGCAGTCTGAAGTTTGTTGCAGTTTTTTCATATCACCCTGTAGAGTTGAATTTGAAATAAAAAACTTATGTTGCTTTGCAAATTTTAAAGAGATAATGAAATTTACAACATAAACCATTGTAAACAGTAAGGGAACCTCCTCAATTCTCTCCTCAGGAAGGCAGAATTCAGAGATTGAAAACACTTTTTCTCCGCTTGTGTGATTTTCATTATCAGTTCTCTGGGAACAGTAGATTTTGACATCTGTGGCTCAACCCGATCATATGCTAGCGCTGCTGTTTCCGCTGGGATGTATGATCTCCCTTCTACGAACAGGAAATTCGTTTCAGGTCCCGAACCTTGGGCCGTTGTCAAAAGCAACCCTGATTTCAGGATTATTTGGCTTCCTTTGAGGGGGAAAGTGCGTCGTTGTAACGTTATGATATCATCATAGGCAAATGATCTAAAGAATAATAAGACACCCTTGTCTAAGAGTATGTACAGGGTTGCCCATATTCGACGGACCGATCTGGCAACGCCATAACTTTTGACAGAGATGTCACATCGCTTAATGACATACCGCGTTTGAAGCGTCAGTCCAAGCTGATTTTTACCATGAACCAATACACGCCACGCGAGCGCTCTGAAATAGTTGAAATTTACAAGAAGTCAATTGTGAAAACTCAACGTGCTTTTAAAACATTAAAAAATGTGAGAAGTGTGCCTTCTAAGAACACCATTAAGCGTTTATACGAAAAATTTTCGACTGGTAAGGTTCTTTCTAATCCGAAGAGGCCATATAAAAGTCGACCAAGGCGATCGGCCGTACGAGCCAGTGTTGAGAGGTCCCCAAGAACATCCCAAAAACGCCGTTCTCAGCAGTTGGGCATGGCTCGGTACACTTTACAATGGATTATTCGCATTAATTTGCATTTGTTCCCGTACAAAATTCAATTGACGCAAAGAATGTTGCCTGCGGACAAGCCTCGTCGATTGAAATGGGCCCAAAGAGTCATGGGTCCGTCAAATATGGGCAACCCTGTATTCCATCTTGAAATCGTAAATCTTATCAAAGTAATTTATATAATTTACCTGTAACAAAAAAATGGGAACTTTTGTCGTTTTTATAGCCGTTTAGTAAAAATGACAAACGTTCCCAAAGAAGTGTAAATTTACATGTTAATATCGCAGTATACGTTTAAATAATTGTGACTCCAATATTCTAGGAAACTTTAGCAGATATCACTGGAGAATATTGGATTTTCATAGAATTTTTGTTCACCAACTTTACCACCCACACTTTTCCCATTTCATTCATATCACTCACTCTATCTCTTTTTCTCTCTCTCTCTCTCTCTCTCTCTCTGCTCCTATTTCAATATTAAATATTAGTTTGCACAAACGTTTTTCTTTTTCTTATCTCCAGTCGCTTGCCTACATTAATAACCTTGATCATGTTAAGACATTTCATGTAGATTAACAACAACTGCAAAAAAAAAAAAACATGAAAATAAAATCAAAAAACCGCAAAATAAAAAAATATGAGTGAATGCATGATATGTTGCTATTGACCAAAATAAAACATGCAGTTATTATTGTGTTATTGTTAATGTTTTGCTATTGTTGTCCCATATTTTAAATTTTTAATTGAATTTACTAAATTTAACAAGTTGGCAATTTTGTTTAATGCTAAATAATTCGTATACCCTACAACCCTAATGTGGTCAGGGTTAGTATGGGTTTCTTAATTTGTTTTGTAATATAAAAGAGGAGAAAAGTTCGACCCATATTTACTAAAGTTGATCTATTCCGAATCACTTTCTTGAGACGATTTAAAAATCTTTGAATACACCAATTATAAAGATTCTAGATTAACTGTCAAACCAATCATGAATACCCGCGCAGAACTCGAACAAATACCGAACAATAAATAGCTTTTTTAGACAAATCCGTGGAAAAATGTGGAAAAAATCATCAAAATACTGAATATCGGGAGGTAATCCTTATATAAGGGCGCCACCGGAGCTAGAACCCATTACGAACTACAAATGCCAATTTTTGGATGAATTAGGAAAAAAATGTGCAAAAATCATCAACATACCGAATATCGGGAGGTACCGTAATATGGAGGGCTATACGAAAACGTGGACCTATATATATTCAATGATCAGCCACCGGAAGTAGAACCTGTTACGATCTACAAATGGCAATTCTTGGACAAATCCGAAAAAAATGTGGCAAAAATAAATGCCCGTGAAGATAAATTTTAAAATATAAATGCCAAGACACAAGACACTTGTATTTTGTGTTGGTGCGCAAGGGGTTAATTGAAAAATAGTTTTTTTTTTTTAATATTAATGATTTTTACCATTTTTTTTTTGGAACGCATTGGATAAATCAACACTGATTTCAGATAATCGAATTTTTTCGATTTTCTAACCAAAGTGGCGGTTTCGGTAGGGAAACTGCATGGAAAATGCTGAATTGCACAAAAACTATGCTAGCTGCGTCATTGAGGCGGGTCTTACATGAAAGGTCTCGAGGAGTACTTTCTGATTTTTTTTTGAATTTTTTCCACTTTGGTTAAAAAATCGAAAAAATTCGATTAACTGAAATCCGTTGGGAATATAAGGCATATATAGCCAGAAAGTACTCCTCGAGACCTTTCATTTAAGACCCGCCTCAATGACGCAGCTAGCATAGTTTTTGTGCAATTCAGCATTTTCCATGCAGTTTCCCTACCGAAACCTCCACTTTGGTTAGAAAATCGAAAAAATTCGATTATCTGAAATCAGTTGGGAATATAAGGCATATAAAGCCAGAAAGTACTCCTCGAGACCTTTCATTTAAGACCCGCCTCAATGACGCAGCTAGCATAGTTTTTGTGCAATTCAGCATTTTCCATGCAGTTTCCCTACCGAAACCTCCACTTTGGTTAGAAAATCGAAAAAATTCGATTATCTGAAATCAGTTGGGA